GTTTGTGGTTAGAGAACGCTGCGAATGTTTCGAATTCCACGGCTAAAGAAATCTGCGCCACCATAAGCAAAAATGCAATTTTCGTTATTTTTTCTTCTTTCATATTTCCTTCTTTCTGACTGTCTTTAATCAAAATCCTAATTCGCCTTCGAGGTGGTCAGTATTTAGTTTGGCGTTAGCTTACTGACCCCAGGCCAACTTCTTAACCCCATTTGGTGGCACACCTATTAAAAAGAGATCCAAGAGAACGTCGCCTTTTTATGGCCAATTCGCGTAGCGAGTACACCTGTCTCGCGGGTGTTCTGACCCCGAGTATCACAAGAGTGTCATTTTTATCAAGTTATTTATGATTTTACAACAGGGCAGTTTCTTAATGACTAAAACACGAGATCTGGTCTTGAGAAATTAAAAGACCTGCAGGTTGCACATCACAAACTGTTGGTTCTCAAGATAATATGAGGGACCGATCACGAATTTTTATTTTTGCGAATGTTTCTTTCTGCTGAAAATTATTTCTTTTACGAACAAAACAAAATTGTCAAGAATAACAATATCGGGGAACAATTGGAACTTTTTTTTTTTTCGGCTGGCAAGATTTTCTTCCGTTACAGAAAAGAATTAGGTTCATACTGCATTTTCTTGAATTTTCATCGACTTTAATTAGGATTATACAATTTATACTGAGAGGGAAATTTTTACTTTGCCAGATTTGGTATTATCTTCTGAAATTTTCCTCGCTTCCCGTAGTTAAAGACGTAATATATCAAACACGAGGAAGAGTGTTTCATCCGATATCCAAACCCCGAGAAGTGGTTGAGAAAACGAGGCGCAGCCGAGTTTTTTTTTAACCAACTTCAAGGTGTTTGGATATCGGATGAAACACCCTTTCGAATGTTTGATATAGCTTCTCAAACCATTAATAATTCTCGGAGAAAATCAAAGCAAAAAGTCACCAGATTTTATGATAATTAAGATCACATATCCAAACCTCCTTCACGGTTGTAATTTCCTTTGTTTTCTCAGCATGAATTACTAATGAGTTTGAGAACAATTAGCAAAGTTCCAACTGAACGCAGAGTATTCGACTTGTTCATGGTTGATTAACCCTTACTATCAAGTAATGATAGTCGTGATGTTTCTGTCACGAAAGATAAAATGGGCTTATGAATACTAACGAACATCATTTAATGATGATGTTTGCCCGGCTGAAAGAGGACGTAATCTCGCTGCACTCTTTGTTGCCCTTTCAAAATCTCAGTTACATCTTCTCACGTTCAAATTTTGAACGGTCGAACTTGTATTAAGCAGTCACCCTATGTAAGGCAGTCGGTTTTCAAATTCTCGAGATTCTTCCCCTCTAATTACTGTAATTTTCATTCTTATCAACCCTTTAATTCCCAGATCAAATTTGTAATTTCTCTTATTATCAACCATACAACTCTTATAATATTAGTTCAGAGAATTTAGCATTGGATCGACTACTTAGCCCCAAATTGATCTTTTTCTTTCTTCTCATCACTTATTTGCTTAATATTGTATAGATATTGTAAGAGAAATTCTGTCTTGGTCACTCATGGGAGTTAAAGGATTAAGTGGTCGTAGTCACCCTTGACTGAGTCCCAACGGCCTGCTTGTATCGTTCTCCACCTGTATTGAACGTTCATTAAAGCGGAACTACTCGAATAAATTCGAAACTAGGAAGAATCTTTCGAGTAAAATTTAACCCTCGTTTAGTATTTTTGAGCAAGTCCTTGTGCATTAAGTGGTCAATTATGGCATAATATGGCGTTTTTACCGTTTTTTACAATACCTTTATCCTGTGGAACGGTCGACTGAACTGTATCGATCATCCCGCCATTTCCCGTGGGTGCACGTGACCGCTGGTACAATTTGATCTGTATTAAAATACAAGTTCGACTGTATTTTTTAAAAGCTTAAGCAGAAATTGCCACCCGACTTTTCTTATTCCAGGAAGCTACTAAATATATAGCGAATCGACCACAATTTTCTTCTCTCTTTCCTCTCTTTCCTATGATCGATCCAACAAATTATCGGATTTGTGGCCGCCCGGTCATTTTGAGCTTGAATTTTTCGCTTCTTGGATCGGGCGTTCGGAAATGGAGTGTGCCGCTTTAGGCTTCTCTTGTCTTGTGAATCTTGAAATGGATAACTCGCTAACATGGGTTATTTTCAACATAGTAAGCGGTCAGATAGCAAGCAATGCACTGTGAAACTAAGGTAAGGTATTTTTATTAAGAATTTGACTGTTTTTTTTATTCCTGAGAGCGATCGTAAATATTCCAATACAAACTCTCATAATTTCGCCATGACTCTTATTTCGCAAGATGGTCATTTTACAGCTGGAGCTGGGGCCGTCTGTGGATCTACCGACCTGCGTGCCAAACAGTCAAAGCCTTGACTTGTCTCGTTGGCACTTAACGATAGCTACACATTTACTTGACTATGATATCCGACGATGTGGAAACGTCGCACTTTTTTTCGCTAATTTTTGTGTTGAAAATAATTGATGTCAATTTCTAAAAGCTATAATAGCGGAAATTACGTCAAAAATTTTTCACTCGAATAATCATTGAAAAGGATAGACAGAGGAGATTTGTGGTTAATTTGTTAAATGTACATCACCGAAAAAGGATGATATCCAAATCAAGATGCCTTACCCCTACCCGTCTCCTGTTACCTTTTACTCTTCACCCTCCCATCCCTGAAAAAGGATGATATCCAAATCAAGATGCCTTACCCCTACCCGTCTCCTGTTACCTTTTACTCTTCACCCTCCCATCCCTGAAATAAATCTGACGGTGAAGTCAATATCAGGTTATCGTTGCTCTGGTTAAACGTGGTGTTATGAAGTAAGACTACATATAAATGGCGAGTAAGGTAAGAAAGCCCATTTTTTTCCCTTTGTTCTTGAAGAGTGAATCTGGGGTTTAATCAGTCGATTCGTATCGAACCGAATTGTTGCAAGCCTGGTGCTTCACATGAAATATTTGCCTCAACCAAAAATTCGACCTCTATACTCCTACGATTACAGCAGTCACAATCATTCAAGCTTTCCCCACGGTCAATTCAACAACACTCGCGCAAAGCCTTGTTCTCTTTTGACGAAAGAAGCCAAGGCGATCGGTGTGGATAACCGGCGTTTTCGCTGTCGTACGATATTATAACGCAAACTACAAAGACAACACGCAGATTAATTGAGCAATATTACGTTATTTAGCCAGTCGGCCGTAAAGTGTTATACCTAGTTTTTATAGCTATGACCTCCAGGTATTATTTCAGGGATAAAAGAGGAGGGTGAAGAGTAAAGCATTGCGTGTAACAGCTTTGAAAGAATGTCAGGAGGTCAAGGCATCTTGATTTGAATATCATCCTTTTTCAGGGATGGGAGGGTGAAGAGTAAAAGGTAACAGGAGACGGGTAGGGGTAAGGCATCTTGATTTGGATATCATCCTTTTTCGATGATGTACATTTAACAAATCAACCACAATTCTCCTCTGTCCATCCTTTTCAATGATTATTCGAGTGAAAAAATTTGACGTAATTTCCGCTATTATAGCTTTTAGAAATTGACATCAATTATTTTCAACACAAAAATTAGCGAAAAAAAGTGCGACGTTTCCACATCGTCGGATATCATAGTCAAGTAAATGTGTAGCGATCGTTAAGTGCCAGCGAGACAAGTCAAGGCTTTGACTGTTTGGCACGCAGGTCGGTAGATCCACAGACGGCCCCAGCTCCAGCTGTAAAATGACCATCTTGCGAAATAAGAGTCACGGCGAAATTATGAGAGTTTGTATTGGAATATTTACGATCGCTCTCAGGAATGAAAAAAAAAACAGTCAAATTCTCAATAAAAATACCTTACCTTACTTTCACAGTGCATTGCTTGCTATCTGACCGCTTACTATGTTGAAAATAACCCATGTTAGCGAGTTATTCATTTCAAGATTCACAAGATAAGAGAAACCTAAAGCGGCACACTCCATTTCCGAACGCCCGATCCGAGAAGCGAAAAATTCAAGCTGAAAATGGTGTTGGATCAACTTTTAATCCCCAAATTGTTGTTTAATTTGTTGGATCTGCTTGATATTGTATTGATATTGAAGAGAGAGAAATTGTGTCGATTCGCTATATATTTTTAGCTTCCCAACTGGAACAAGGAAAAGTCGGGTGACCGTGCAATTTGGACTGCTGTGAATCTCTGGGTTTTAACATTCCAAAATAAACAGTCGAATTGTCCATTGTATTTCAATACAGATAATACAAGTGGAACAGAAGAATACATGGCATTTCAGTTTCACCGTAAAGCTATAATGGCAAAGCCCCACTCCCTGACATTTCCCTAAGAGATAGGGCGATTTTCCGCAATCTAAGAAAGAAAGTCCCTCGGTCACTTCTCTGAGTCACCCAGTTCTTGCTACTACTCCGCAGCTGCTCCGCTCGTATTCAAATTGGGGGACTTGCCGTTTGAATTCAGCGCGCAAAATCCCGCCAGCTACCCTCACCTGTGTAACATGGCATGATTAGAATCGTATCATGTTAGTAAGGACTGAGAAGGCTTTTCATGACGACCAACATCGGTTTACATTGAGGAGGTCAGAAACCAAGAGAGAGCTTTCTAAGCCCCTATGGTCATTCTAGTCTGTACACTAATTTTACTAGTTTACAGTTTTGTAAATACATTACAACTACAGTTGTAAAATACGTTACGAATACAGTGACACCCCATAGGGCGAAAAGAGATGACCCTCGCAGCCTACCTCATTTAAATTGTCCTCATCACATCTTCAGATTTTCAAGTACTATCATGATCGACTCTGGCTATTTCCAAATGAATCTTCGCTCAACGAAGTCATCCGACTGTTCGACGAATGGGCAGAACAATATGATCAGGTAACACGGAGCGTTGATCATTAGACAGGGAACTGGTGGTACAATAATAGCGTCACATTATTTTTTTGTTTTATTTCATTCAGATCATGCAGGAACCCGAATACAGTGAACCTCGGCCGTTTGTCAGGCACTTCGACGCTACAGTGTGCAATCTGTTTCCAGATGTCGACAAGAAAAGTTTTAAAGTTCTTGACGTGGCGGCTGGAACAGGACTGTTGGGTTTAGAATTAAACAAACTTGGATATACTTATATTGACGCCCTTGACATGTCACAAGAAATGCTAACCCGAGCTAAAAACAAGAAAGTTTACACCAAACTCATCTGCGCTGCCGTAAATGATCAGCAGATAAACGGTATCGAGACCGCGAAGTATGATGCATTGACATGCAGCTCTGCAGTATGTGCTGGGCAAGTTCAACCCAGTGCTTTTAGCGAGATGCTAATGATGGTGAAGCCTGGTAAGGAAGGATAAAGATTCCTTCCCATTCCTCCGCTCGTTCTTTGAAGCTTCTCTTTATCGTTGAATAAGTGATGTGATCCCAGTGTGTTGCGAGGGTTTTTATCTAAAGAAACTGTGGTGCTTCGTCGGTGGTGGAGTATAACAGGATGATTTCGTTATATCAGCTGAATAAATCATATAAATTGGACACCGTAAAGAGTTTCTAAGGTGGCGTTTCGAGCGTTGGCCCTTCCCTTTAGCTCTGACGAAGAGCTAAAGAGAAGGGCCAACATTATCAACTCATTTGATAAAAAAAAAGTTATCTTACATACCCTACTGTTTAATCAACATCCACGCTGTGGTTTACTAAAGGCGATCTTTTCCATGTCGTGTAGATTCTTCGGGAGCGCACGTTTTCAAATTACAACGTTCGTGTGACTATTGTATTTAGAAAAGGTGAGGGAAAGAGGCTTCCTAACTCCCCTTAGCCACGCCCCTTGGTCCAGTCGAACCAATCAATATGGCAACAATGGAGTTGCAAGAAAATGACATCTCTAATACTCAGTTGTTTTCGGCGAAATAACTTTTTGTCACGTTTTGCAGGTGGCTTATTGTGCTTCAATCTAAGCTTCACCGGCTGAGTATTACACAGAAAAAGCGAGGACCTGAGAATGTACAAGTGGCAACTAGTTACAACAACTTGGGTGTGGTTCACGAGAAACTGGGCGACTTTGAGAAGGCCAAGGAGTATCACCAACTTGCTCTGAGTATTACACAGAAAAAGCGAGGACCTGAGAATGTACAAGTGGCAACTAGTTACAACAACTTGGGTTATGTTCACGAACAACTGGGTTACTTTGAGAAGGCCAAGAAGTATCACGAACTTGCTCTGAGTATTAAACAGAAGAAGCTAGGACGCAGGTAAAGATAGTCTTGCTCCAGTTAAAAACGATGGGATCAATGGCATGATTGAAATTTCGTTTGAAAGTAGTGCTGAATCCTCTAAAAGCGAAAGACTAAAAAGCAGTGAGAAATAAGACGACAGAAATCGTTAGAGTCAGTCACAAGTCATTTTCTTGAATTGCTGAGATTCCCAGACGAGACAATGAAAGGAATTATTTCGTAACATAACCAGAACACTTGAATACAACTTACGAGATTAAACTTTGAATTAGTATGGTTCGTAACAGCCCGTGTTCAGTATGTTTCTTGACATCAAAACCTTTCCGACCAGGTGGAGTAGAATTGTTCGTGGTTTGTCTTGTTTCGATTGACTGTTCTCCTCTTTTTTATAAGTTTCTACCAAACTTTTTCAAGACAAACTCGAAAAACAAACTTCATAAGACAGATTTCTGTTTTGATCATTTTCTTGTTTTTGTTTTGTTTTGATTGATTGTTTTTTATTCAAAAGGGAGGTTTTTTGATAGTCTTGACTTTGTGTAGTCGACCCAATTTTCTTGGCTCTTTTTCAAACACACGGAACGTGGGCTGTCAAAATATCAGTTAAGATAAATCGATAGTTTTCGCTATCTCCTCAACGGCGTCCGTAGATTCCTCAAAAATAATAAAAACCATCAATATTTCTCACAGCTTTCAAGAGTTAGTCTAAATTACATATACTCGTACTTTTTAAAAAACTAAATTAAGTCGCAACGATATTATTGATTAAGTTCTTACGCATATTACGAGACTCGACTTAATATTTCTTGGTTTTGAGTCAGTAAATTCCTTATCTTTTGTCACACAATTTATCTTAGACAGCTTTGCTTAAAAGAACGTCTAGAAGCCAACAGTAGTTCATCTTTTCAATTAACGAGTATGAAGTACTCTTATCATGTTTGGAAACTGTTCCTTTGACGACGCTTTCGTAGCCTTAGTTCATTTAGTAGCCAAACATCCTACGTTTTCAATTTTATCGAGCCGTTTTTCTCCTCATAATTACAGGCGTGCAGTTTACTCGGACATTATATTCTCGGAAATAGTAACAAGTTTATTACAAGATTTTATTTCTGTTTTTCTTGCTTTCTTTCCTGTTCATTTCTTATTTCAAGCTGTGAATTTTGTTATTGTGAACACTTTCAAACTTGCTCCTTCGTTCTTTTGACCTCAGCGCATTTCGCTCGGGTTCTGTGCTAAGAAATGCAGTGTTCAAATGATAAATGCTTCAGATAGTACATTGTGTAGCTTTTCTGATTATGATTACACCGATAATCATAAAAATTACAATTTCTTCGATTGTGATTGGTTTAAAAATCTCCTATTTTACACTAATTTACTTACCAAGTTGTTATCGGACAGTTCCATAAGCCAGTCACATTCAAAGTTGAAGTTTGAATCATGTTATAATTAACCTTTTCCCTCCCTAGATTTCATAGATTTCATTATTAGTAATTCGTCTTGCTGTCTACCATACGATTCTTAAGATGCTAGTTTAGGGAATTTGGTATTGGATCAACTAATCATCCTCTAATTGATATTTTCTTTATTCTCATCACTTGTCTGCTTGATATTGTATTGGTAGTGTAAGGAGAAATTCTGTCCTGGTCACCAAAGGGAGGTAAAGGGTTAATGAATAAAGTATCTTCTTCCATGATACTACAAGCTCAGATCTAGATAAGTAGAGGAGAATTCAGTGTTAAATGTATTGGAACTATAATTGTTAGGTTCTTATTTTAGGGGCCAGAAATAGTTTTCTTAATCTTCCTCCTAAACAGACTAGATATCCCAATTCTTAGGTCTGCATTAGATTCTTAATATCTGCAACCTTGCCTGTGTGTGTCCAATCAAAGATTCTCTTCAAGACCATTTGATTTTTGTCAATTGTCCTCACAGCCATCAACCCCTCCAAAACATAAGTGAGATCTTTTGACCAAATTGGTAATAAATTTACTGAAAATAAGTTTTATTAATAATGTGGATCTTTTCAATTGTTCTCAGCAACTAGGACCCAGTTCCAGCTCAATAACAATGTTCACCACCTACCCTAGGCGGGAGCTGACCGAAGAAGACCTGGTAAAGAGTTTGGCTGAGTTAGGTCTGGCACCAAGTTCCACTTTAATCGTAGCTTTGCTAAGTTTAAGATCAATATCAGGTTGTTTTTAAAAACATTCATCCATTGGAAAAAGTGAATATTTGTCTCATGTGAACCTGGCATATGGCCTGGCTTACCAATGAGTTTTGTTTAATTTGTGTAACTCAGAGTTTGGTAATGAAAGTTAAAACTTTAGGAAATCAAAGCATGGTTGTGTTCTAGGAAAGCTTGGGTACCACATGCAACCAACTTTAGCTTCTTCTTCAATCTCAATGAATGTTTAATCTTTTGTTGTGTTTGTTTTTATTTTTCATTGGTTAATTATAATTGTATTTGTGAAAAATGTTTTCCTTTTCTTTGAGTGAATTTCCACATTCTCCCATCATTCAGAAATTTCCCAAAAGATAAATAATCAATACTAAACTTTCATTTTACAGAGAGGAAGTAATTCCATCACTCCATCTGGGACTTCATCATTCCCCGAACTGTTGTTATGGATTCTTTCACCTTTGTTCACACTGATTAACTTCCTGAAAGCTTTCCTATTTGGTAGTGTGGATCAGTCTAGAGGGACACAGAATCCTCCTTCACAGAGAACAAACAGCAGCACACAGTCACAACCATCAAAGTGAGTCTTTTTTTGGTGGTTTACCTTTTGTAAACAGCTGCATAGTTTGTTGTTCAACTTTATCACACTAGTTTGGTTGTTTGCTTGTTGGTGTTAAGAACGAAATTCTTTTCTCAAGAGCTAAAAAAGAAAAAGCAAAAAGAATTCCCAGATATTAAGTTTGAAGAATCTTATTTACAGTCAATTTTATTGTCCATTGTGTTTTTTGGCTTGTTGTTAGACAGATAAAAGTTTTGGAGAATTAATCAACTTGTGAATGCTTGAAAGTACACATATTTTTCCACTGGTGACTATACTAAATATTCAATTATCACAATTTGCAAGTTTCACAAAAACAAAGATGGTCTCTTGTTTTAGATTGTCATTTCAGCAAGTAAAATATTGCTTTATTGTGAATTTGGGCTCATAAGCTTTTTTCTTGCTTTTGTTTTTTCATGGCAGTTCTGGTGTACGTCATAGAGTCCCAGGTGGTGTTTCATCTGTAAAGAAAGAAGGTGGAATTCAGTGGCTTCACAACAGAGATGATGAAGATGATGAAAATAACACATGGAATGGAAACTCTACTCAACAGATGTAACTGAATGATCCAAGATTGTTTAAAATATATGGAGAGTTTAAAATTTGGTCTCTAATTTGGAATAATTCTTTTAAAATAGATTAGAGTGGAGATGAGCTTGGTTGTTAGAGGGATGAGAGTCTGTGACAAATAATTCATTGATACAGAAACAATGTTCCTTTAGAAAGGAATCAAACATTTGTGTTAGCTCATTTTTGTATACAGTTCTATGTTGTGACTAGCCTGTATTGTCCATTATTCACAGATTGTCAAAACAATTGAAAAAGAAAACAGTTTAAAAGTTTTCTTCAGTGTATTTGATGGTTAATGGCACAACAATTTTCAATGTCTTGCCCAAAGTTGTAACTTAACAGTTACAGTTAAAATGTCAAAGGATATCACTCCCCAGTCCCTCAAGAATGCAGAGAAAAACATGGGACCAAGGCTAAAATAAAACATACTATTTAAATGATATTGGAGTGAGTGGTATAGAATAAAAGAAAAGGATGTTTTCAATAATCTACGTAAATGATGTTCCTTTTTTTGAAAGCTTACATGTATCTGTCAGGGACCTCTGTTAGACCTGATGATGTAGTGGTTTTTCTGTTTTTTTTTGGTTTTTTTTTTAACAGCAATAAATGATAGTAAAGGCACACTAAACTAAAAAATACCCAGAAAAAATTACAAAGTAAGCCACTGGGATAAAATATTACGTTCTAAGGAAAACCGAGCGAAAATGGGAAAATTTCATTTAAAAAAGACAACAACAACAGCAAACTTGAGCTGCAGTATATTTTCATTTCCCATCTCGTAATTTCCTCTTATCCCCCTTTCACTATTCTCAGGCTCCAAACGAACCATAACTATTATGCTGACCAAGTACTTTTCGACTTTCGCTTACGTTCTAATTCGCCGAATTCGTAGTTGGTCAAACGGTTGTTGAATTGCTGTGTAAAATCTTGGAAACTTTGATCAATCGCTTCAGGATCGTAATCTTTTTGCCTTTACAAATCACTGGAAATGATGATCAAAATTCATTTCACAGTTTACCGATTGTTTGTGCTTGAAACATGCCTCTAACGGAACAAGTGAAAAATCGCAATAGTTTAGTTCGGGTGCACGCGAACTGAATCCTTTCGTAAAGAGTGTAAATCGAGCTGCTACACAATCGTAAATTGGCATGTCCATATTTGAAATTCCCGACTCTTGTGCCAAAAATGCACATCAATGAAAGGGTTAAGTTTCATGTATTTTCACGCAATGGCCTGCAGCTTGTTGTGGTATTTACAGCGGTGACTAATTCAGCACTGAAGTGTTTTATTGTTTGTCTGATAAAGTAGTCACTTTCTACTTAAGATCGCACTGTTGATGCGCCTCACATTAATTCAATCAGTTCGCTCTTCTTAAGAGGCACTCTCCCTACAATAGTCTCTAAAATCAGTTATCTTATAAACGAATTCTTCGTCGCTTGTTTTCAAGGAGGGTGACTGAACATTGTGCATCATTCGATCTCGCTGTGGCGACCACATCAACCAAAAAATGTATGTAAAAGAAGACCTTCGTGTTGTTGATGATGGGATCATGCTTATTTTTAGAACTGAAACCAGAAAATCAGTATCGTAGAATTCATTTTTTTCCTCGTTTCTGTGCGGTATGGAATAGTTTCTTGAATATATAAAGTATTTTTAACAATTTCTCGTCGTGAAATGGCACAGTTTTCCATGCAACTACGCATTTGAAAATGACACATGTTGGGCGATGCATGCAATTTCCGTGACAGGCTATAAAGGAATACGTTAGGTCACGCGATGTTTCACCACTCCGGGCGTAGACTAAACGTAATTATAAAATAATTCAAATAGTACACGCGCTCTGATTGGCTATAAAACCATTTTACATGAGCGTATGTAAACACGGTTTTCGTTCCTCTTTCATTAGTTATTTTATAAAAGAAATGTAAAATGGTTTCCGTGTTTACATAGCCTGATGTAAATACTTGGGAGATTGGGAGAACACTCGACAAGCTGGAAACCACTCCGCTTCGCGTCGTGGTTTCCTACGCTTATCTCGTGTTCTCCCAACCTCGCGCGTGTTTACATCAGGCTATGTAAACACGGAAACCATTTTACATTTCTTCACTGTAACTGTCGTTTCCATATAAGGTGATTCGAAACAACCTTAAGTTGATTCGATACATCGATTTAGTCGATCCAATACACGTAGAAAGTCGTTCCGACACAACTTCAGTCACATGATGAAGATACAAACCAGTAAAGGTTTATCATCCAAACATCTAAATTAATTATTTATCCTTTTAAAATGTTTTCATTTCCCATCTCGTATTCCACACTATCCATTTCCTCTTATCCTCCTTTTACTATTCCCAGGCTCCAAACGAATTGTAACTATTGTGCTGACCAAGTACTTTCAGTTTCGACCTCCGCTTACGCCCTGATTCATCGATTTCGTAGCTGGTCAGCTAGTCGTTCAATTGCTGTCTGACAACTTGAAAACTTTGATCAATCGCTTCAAGACGTAATCTTTACTTACGGTGGCACTAAGGTGACTGCTGTTTCACATCAAACCCAACAGAAGGGCTAACATCTTGCACTGCAGTGATAAACAGAGAGTCCTGCTTGAGAAATTTCCGCCTTCGCTACTAGTGATTACACGATGTGAGATCAAGTATTGTGGTAAGATTACTGATTCTTTTTTTCTGTTTATGTCTGCTGATGTTATTTTCGTGCACTTGGTGGCTCACTATCAAAGATTCACTGGACAAGTGCAATACATCATTGGGAATTATTTTTCAAATGGGCAATAACAGTGTTAATTTGATTTTGCCTTTACAAATCACTAGAAATTATGATGATCAAAATTCATTTCGCAGTTTACCGATTGTTTGTGTGTGATACATGCCTTTGTTGGAACAAGTAACAAATCACTGTAGTTAAGTTAGGGTGCATGTGAACTGAATTATTTAGTCGAGAATGTAACACGACCTGCTACGTAATCGTAAATTGGCACATTCATATTTGAAATTCCCGACTCTTGTACCAAAAATGCACTCCAAGGAAAGGGTTAAGTTTCATGTATTTTCACGCAATGGCCTACAGCTTGTTGTGGTTATTCACCGCGGTGGCTGCTTCAATAATGAAAAATTTTATTATTTGTCTGATGAAGTCGTCAATTTCAATGTAGGATCGCAGTGTTGATGCGCCTCACTTTTATTTAATCAGTTTTCTCCGCTCAAGAGGCACTCTCTATACAATAGTCTCCTAAATAAGTTATCTTCGTAAGAAATTCTTCGTTGCTTGTTTTCAGGGAAGGCGACTGAACATTGTGCATCGTTCGATCTTGCAGCGGCGACCACATCAATAAAGCAGTGTAAGTAAAAGAGTAAATGAAGACCATTGTGTTCTTGATGATGCGATCACGCTTATTTTTAGAATTGAAACCAAAAAAATCAGTATCGTAGAATTCATTTTTTTCCTCGTTTCTGTGCGGTATGGAATAGTTTCTGGAGTATATAAGGTATTTTTCATCAATTTCTTGTCGTGAAATGGCACAGTTTTCTATACAACTACGCATTTGGAAACGACACATGTTCAGCGATGATTGCAATTTGCTTGACAGGCTGTAATAGGACACGTTAGGTCACGCGATTTCACCACGCCGGGCTTAAAATAAATGTAACTGTAAGGTGATTCAATACAAGCTAAAGATGATTCGAAACATCGATTGAGTCGATCCGATATACGTAGAAAGTCGTTTCGACACAACTTTAGTCACATGATTTCGCTACAAACTAGTGAAGGTTTACAAACCAAACTTTCAAGAACGGTCGGAGTTTGCTTAACAGACTAATTTGCATAATTTTGCTGTCACGCTAGCAAAATCACCAAAAGTTTGAAGTCACTACGGCGAAGGAAATTAATAAGTGCAAGATGTTTTTACATTTCTATGCTTTCGAACATCTTATTAGAGGAAATCAACCGGAGTTTTTAATGGTCCGGTCTGGACTTAAGAAATATCACCCAGGAAAGAAAGAGTACTTTTGACCAATTTCAGAAAGCTATCTAACGGGTGTTTTCAAATAAATTATGGCGAACCTCTGTATAAACTCATATCAAAGTTGAAATACTTTCCAAACCCCTTAGATATCACACAATAGTCAGGAACACAATCGATTTCTTGCTGCATGTGGTGTGTTACGAGGAGCGAGCTTGTCAACTTTGGAAAATTTTCGATGTCTCAAGAGGTCAAAAAAGGGCCTTTTGCAGCTTTGATTATCGAGAGCTCTCTTCAAGTTTATTTTTAACGTATTTCCAGAAACCAACGTGGTTCTATTTACTAACTACCAAAGATAGCTTAATGGGCAAAGTCTGAGGAAAACTTTTTCCGATGCGAAATGCCCTGGACCGCTCTTACAGAGATCGCTACTTAAGAAGTGGGGAGAAACACGAGACGTAGTTGTAAAGCCGCTTCCTGTGTGCTTTACAACAGAACAGAGCACAGTCAAGGCTTCTCTATTTGTTCATTAGAATGTTCAGGAATGTTACGGAATTTTCCAGAAGGTTCCATAGGCCTGGTTTTATCAATGGTCCTTAAAATCAGCGCTTTATTTTCTCTCCTTTACTTTCTACTTCGTTTTTATTGATTTTATAACTGATTGATTTGAAATTGATTTAGCAATTAATTAATCAAAGCCCTTTAAATTTACTTCCCACCTTCAGAGGCCGAAAAAATCGTTTTTTCTTTTATTTGACTAAACTGAATTCAAACATTTTACCTGTCCAGAAAGAAAGTTTTAAAATCTCCAAAAGCACCCGAGTTATTTCGAAAAACGTAATTTCAAATAAAAGTTAATAATCAGGAAGGTGTCATAATCTCGTACCTGGGCGAGTACCCTGAGGGAATTTCCGCGGCAACCGCTCATCTTGGGACTCGTTTTGTTTACATCGCGCATTTGACAAAATTCACACGTGGAAGCTCTTTGCTCATGTGTCTTAAATGATCTCGCGACAAACAATCACACTGGTTTGATGTACTCTATTTTTATTCTCCTACTCACTAGTAACTCCGATCTCACAATCAATCATCTGATGCGGCTCTTCTCGGCTGGAATTCTCTGGCGTCAGCTCTTAGCGTCTCTCCTCTCCTTCGTTCAGGTCTGTTGCAGGTTAATTCAAGAGGATACAGCAGCTGCAGTGGTCTCTCTATGTGTGTCTTCCCAGCGCTAAGCTGCGCCCCTCTTATCACTCCATCCCGACCTTGAATCAGGCGTTCCACCACACCAATCTTCCATTTGCCTCCGTTACCCTCCTTTCCCTTGATAGGCATCACGTCTTCTTCTTTCAAGGTAGCTTCTTTCGTTTGATGGTTGAGATTGTGACGCTCTCTTGGGGCCTTTAGGTACTCGATTGTCCATCTTTTCCATAGGACGTCCTTACATTTCCGTAGGTACTTGGCGCGTTTTCTGAGGTCATAATCTTCAACGTTGGTTGGTTCTTCTTAAGGAATTTGGGGTTAGGGGTCAAAACTAGCATTTAAATATCGTCTTCTACATAACCAAGAAGTTTGTTGTTAAGGGTTGTCTCCACATCCAAGATGACCTCTTCCGATTCATGCTAGCGCAGGTGACCGTTTCCGATTGCTTCGTACATACTCTGCTTCATGATGCCAATCAATCTTTCGAACTGACCGTCCCACCACGGAGCTCTATTGAGATTAAACTGCCACCGGATGTTTTGCTTGGCTAGCCAGTCGTTCATCTTCTCATCTTGTTGAACTTTCTTTAGCTATTTGGATGCTGAAACGTAGGTTCTCCCATTATCGGAGAAGATTTTCTCTGGCCGTCCTCGTCTCGCCATGAAACGTTTCAGACTGCGCAACAAGTGTTCCGTTGTTTGATCTGGTAGTAGATCCAAATAGACGGCACGGGTTGAGCTGCATGCATATAGTAGAATGTATGCCTTCATCTCGCTTTTATTCTTGCTGAAGTACTTGATAGGCCCAGCAAAGTCGACTCCGATTGACTTGAAGGGCACTGATCCTTCTGTTCTTTCCTTGGGTAGGTTTCCAGTCGGTGGGTTTGCTAAGGCGGTTACTTGAAAGCGTTTACACTCAACGCACTCATTTATCACTCTCTTTGTTCGTCTTCTGAAGCGAGGTATCCAATATTTCTCTCGTATCTTCGCCATTGTCAAACTGACTCCCTCATGAAGGGTCTGAAGGTGGGCGTGCAATACCAGCCTTTTGCTGAACAAAGCATCATCTGGAAGGTAAATGGGGTAGTCTCCCTGGATACGCCCTCTGCATTCGTACAGTCCATCTGCGTTCTTCTGGAGATTGAGACGTTGCTGATCTTCTTGAAAACCGCTCGTACCCTGACATCTGACCTGTGTCCCTTTTTCCCAGAACTTCATCTGCCTACTAGTGTTTGGCTCTGCAGTTTCGAATAAAGCGCGAAACCCACCACTGGTCTCGGTTAGTTGTCCATAGGTCCCATTTCTGCATCAGCTCATCATGTCTGTTATTTGTTTCAGTGGTGACTGCTAGTACTTCCCTGATAAGTGTGGCCTCAGCTTGCGTCTCTCTGGTCGGACTTGTCACAATATCTGGAGGCCACTGTTGTTGATGTGCTAACCATAGAGGTCCACGCCAGCACAGGTCTGTTGTCTCAAATAACTGACCACCTCGGCTTCCGAGATCGGCAGGGTTGTCCGTCGTCCCGACGTGTCGCCAACGGATGTAATTCTTGTCCTAGATCTTCGAAACTCGATTTCCCACAAATTGTTTGTAATTTCCACCCCCTTTGATCCAATGTAGGGCTACACTGCTGTCGAGCCAACCATACACGCTCCTGGTTGGGAATCCTTGTAGGGCTTCCTTCACGTTGTCCACAAGGTTGGTTGCCATGTGCCCAGCGACTAACTCGAGCCTTGGTGTGGTTAAACCTTTCTTCGCCAGTCTGGACTTTGAGGTTACCAGACCTTGGGTGATGCCTGACGATTGGTGTGTGACTGCATACACGGCTGCTGAATTGCCTTTGCTACTGGCATCTCCGAAAGCAGGAAAAACGGTACTTAAGATTTTTTCTCGGCATTCGAGAAGGCTTCTTGGAACTTCTACTTCTCCAGTCAGCATTCTTTCCCAGTTCTCCCACGTGTTCTTTAGCTTTCTGGGAAGATCTCGGTCTTAAGGTACTCGGGCGTCGTATGTTTCTCTGTACAGCATCTTTCCAGCCAAGGTGACGGGTGAAGCTACTCCTAAATGGTCGTATATCTTAGATATACTCCTGAGGATTTCTCTCTTGGTTACTTTGACGATTGGGGCGAGAAAGGCGACTTCTATTGTGTCCACTGTTTTGTTCCACGGTGCGCTTAACAGTTTGGTCTCCCCCTTCTTTACATCCATATGATACTCTAGCACAGTGGTTGGTTGTTTTCCCGCCGTTTCTTCTTCGGGCGTGGCAAGGCTGTGACTTGCTTCCAGTTGAGTGGTTGAATGTTGTTCTGCCGCTTTCCCTGAGGATGGTGGCTCGTCTAGGGATGGCACTTTTGAATGCCATTTTTGCAGCTTGAATCTCCCTTTGAAAATAGCTAAGGCTGCTTTTTTCTCGAACACAGTTGTTACACCAGTAATCAGGTCGTCAACATGGAGGCTCCGTTTAACTTCTTCGACTTCGTTTGAGAATTTCTGCTGAAGGTTTCGCTAGTGCTGATCTATATCTCCTCCAAGAAGGAATAGTGATTCTGCGAGGGTGGACTTGTCTCTGAACTTTCATAAAGGAAGAGTGCTGATTTTCTGCTTTGAGTAGATCCATCGTAGACGATGCCGATCTTAGTGCTCTCTGCTATCTCCCGTACTACGGCTTTGTGTGGAAGGTAGAGTCCTCCCGCACTACGGCTTTGTGTGGAAGGTAAAACTCTTTTTCTTCTGGTTCCTTGAGTGCTCGTTCCATTGTATTGTTCCTTGCGTCAACTGGTCCTGGATGATGTCATCATACTTTTGCAACATGCCTGGCTGCTTCTTCAACTTCCTTATCTGGTGGTCCAAGCGCTTCAAACTCACGTCTTGTTGTTAGGTAAGGGTGGATGGTTTCCCTTCCAGAAAAGACTGGTAAAACATCTTGGTTAGGTCTGGTTCGCTTACAGGAGACATAAAGGTCCATCCAAAGCGCGTTAGTTCAGCTATCGGTTCTCCAGGTTTCCCCATTTTGGGTGTGGTTTCCGTCTTGATTCTTGCGTATTCGCTTGTTCCAAGGATTAAGTGGACGGGGAGCTCTCTCTTCAAATGAACGTCATCTATTTCCACTCCTTTCAGGTGGTTGTACCTCACCAAGATGTCTTTTTACCCAGGATTGGTTAGGGTTAGCAGCACACCATGGTTCATCTTTGTTATCTCTGTGTGCAGGTGAAAATTTCCCGAGAGGTTTTCAATCACGACATCATGGATTTCGATTTCTCTGTCTGTTGTTTTACATGAGCATTTCAATCCTTCTGAACTCTTTCCGCACTGGCTGTTTACCTATGCGATCAAGTAAGGCTGCTGAGACGTGGGAGCTTCCGGCTCCGGCGTCCAGTAGCGTACGGCACCGAATACCACAAACTTCAACGACAACGAGAGAGTACTTTCGGCCACAGCTTTTCATAGAAATCTAAGATTTTGTTTGGGTTGGTTCCATGAATCGTCGGAAGTGACATGATGCTGGTGACGTAAGCGGTAACAATTTCATTTTCTTTCCCATACCTGCCTCTTAGTATATTTTTCGCTAGTTGGTAGCCTTCTGTTGTAAGCGATAGACCATCCTTGAGCTAGGAGAACTTCGTAACCTGTGGAGCGTCTGCTGAGTCGATTTCTGCCGTAAACTGGTCTCAAAACCGCAGCCAGCCGGTGGGGATGCCTTTGAACTTTGCAATAACCAATTTTGGCAGCTTGGCGTTGATATTTTGATTTTTTTTCCCGTCGATTTTCTTCTCATATTTACGTTTCTGCTCTAGTTTGGCTTTCTCTAACTTCATTTTATCGTAGAATGTCTTCTTTCTTTGTTTTTCGGCTCGCTCTTCTTCTTCCTTTGCTGCGACTCCTAAATTCTTTAACAGCTAACTCGATGTCGTTGATGGCTTTCTCAAATTCACCCACTCCTTCTTCAATTTGCGCACTTCATTCCAAAATGTCCGCTTTATCTTCTTCAGCTTCAAACCTATTTTCTTGAACGGTTATCTTGAGGTCGTGAACTTCATCGACGTTCTTCTTCAGCGTGTTACACAATCTGTCCACGGACGCGATGTTCTTCTTTTCAATCGCGATGATCGATTGCTCCATTGTAATCTTGAGGATTTCTGATTCGCGTCCATTGTCTTGGTTACTTGTTCGGTTGTTTTGGCCATGATGCTTGATTTGTCCTGGTAGGGTAGCCACTTTTGTCGTAAATGATCCCATGACAAACAATCACATTAGTTTGATGTACACTATTTTACTCTCCTACTCACTAGTAACTCCGATCTCACAATCAATCAACCCAAATCACCTATAGTGATATATATGCACTACTTCACGAACCAATCAACAAATGCAATGTAACGCTTCGGTCACTACAAATCCAACGGAAGGAGCAGTATCTTGCACAGCAGTGATAAACAGAGAGTCCTGCTTGAGAAATTTCCGCCTTCGCTGCAGGCGATTACACGATGTTAGATCAAGTATTGTGGTAAGATTACTGATTCTTTTTTCTGTATACGTCTGCTAATGTTGTTTCCGTGCACCTGGTGGCTCACTACCAAAGATTCACTAGACAAGTGCAAAACCTTATAGTAGGCACTCTCCATACAATAGTCTCTTAAATCGGTGATCTTCTTCTGAAATTCTTCGTCGCCTGTTTTCAAGGAAGGCGACTGAACATTGTGCATCGTTCGATCTCACAGTGGCGACCACATCAACCAGGCACTGTACGTAAAAGAAGACCTTCGAGTTCTTGATGATGTGATTACGCTTATTTTTAGAATTGAAACCAGAAAATCAGTATCTTAGAATTCATTTTTTTCTTCGTTTTTGTGCGGGATGGAATAGTTTCTGGAATACATAAGGTATTTTTCATCAATTTCTCGTCGTGAAATGGCAGTTTTCCATACAACTACGCATTTGGAAACGACACATGTTCGGCGATGCATGCAATTTCCGTGACAGGCTCTAAAGGAATACATTAGGTCACGCGATGTTTCACCACGCAGAGCGTAGAATAAATGTAACTGTCTACGGTCGTTTCCTTATAAGGTGATTCGAAACAAGCTAAAGTTGATTCGATGCATCGATTTAGTCGATCCGATACACGTAGAAAGTCGTTTCGACAATTTCAGTCACATGATCTAGATACAAACTAGTAAAGGTTTACAAACCAAACTTTCAAATTAAGTTTGAAAAAAGTTTTGCCTCAAATTTTTCCCGTTAAACTCTCTTTGGTAATTACTACATATAACCACATTGGTTTCTGGAAATACGTTAAAAATGTTTTATGATATGATATTCTATACGTTTTATTCACCTTTTTCGTCACGAGACAGAATCGTTTGCCAGATTTCAGCCGTTTAAAATTTTTAGAGTATCAACTGGTGTGTTCTAAAAGCTTTGTCCTGTTAACTTTTCTTTTCAAAATTGTTAAAATCTTAGATTTCTGAAGCTACTAATAAAGAACGGTTGGAGTTTGCTTAACAGACTAATTTACGTAATTTTGCTGTCACGCTAGCAAAATTTCCAAACGTTTGAAGTCACTACGGCGAAGGAAATTAATAAGTACAAGATGTTTTCACATTTCTACGCTTTCGAACATCTTATTAGAGGAAATAAACCGGAGTTTTTCATGGTCCGTCTGGACTTGAGAAATATCACCCAAGAAAGAAAGAGTACTTTTGACTAATTTCAGAAAGTTGTCTAGCGGGTGTTTTTTGAATAAATTGTGGAGAACCTCTGTATAAACACACATCAAAATTGAAATACTTTCCAAGCCCCTTAGATATCACACAATTCAGGAATACAAACGATTTCTTGCTGCATGTAGTGTGTTACGAGGAGCGAGCTTGTCAACTTTTGAAATTTTCGATGTCGCACGAGGTCAAAAAAGGGCCTTTTGCAGCTTTGATTATTGAGAGCTCTCTTAAAGTATCTTGAAAATATTTCCAGAAACCAATGTGGTTCTATTAACTCACTACTAAAGATACTTTAATGGGCAAAGTTTGAGGCAAAACGTTTTTCCGATGCGAAATGTCGTGAACCGCTTTTGCAGAGATCGCTACCCTCTACTCGACTACTTCTCGTGTTTCTCCCTACATTTCTTTCGTGCCCAAGCCGCTTCTTGTGTGCTCTACAACAGAACAGAGCACAGTCAAGGCTTCTCTATTTGTTAATTATAATGTTCAGGAATGTTACGGAATTTACCAGAATGTTCCATGGGCCTGGTTTTATCAATGGTCCTTAAACCCAGCGCTTTATTCTCTCTCCTTTACTCTCTACTTCGTTTTATTGATTTTATAACTGATTGATTTGAAATTGATTTATCAATTTATTAATTAATTAACGGCCTTTAAGGTTACTTCCCACCTTTAGAGGTCGAAAAAAATCGTTTTTTCTTTTATTTGACTTATTCGAACTCAAACTTTTTATCTGTCTAAGGAAAAAAATTTTAAAGTCTCCAAAAGCACCCAAGTTATTCAGAAAAACGTAATTTCAAATTAAAGTTAATAAATCAGGAACGTGTCATAATCTTGAACCTGCATGGGTGAATCCCTTGGGGGAATTTCCGCGGCAACAGCTCATCTTGGAGTTCGTTTTCCACGTATTTTTTGCATATTTTGTTTATATCGCTCCCATCTCACAGTCAATCAACCCAAATCATCTGCTGCGGCTCTTCTCGGCTGGAATTCTCTGGTGTCAGCTCTTAGCGTCTCTCCTCTCCTTCGTTCAGATCTGTTGCAGGTTAATTCAAGAGGATACAGCAGCTGCAGTGGTCTCTCTATGAGTGTCTTCTCAGCTCTGAGCTGCACCTTCTTATCACTCCATTTCGACCATGAATCAGGTGTTCCACCACACCAATCTTCCATTTTTGCCTCTGTTACGCTCCTCTCCCTTGATAAGCATCACGTCTTCTTCCTTCAAGGTAGCTTCTTTTGTTTGATGATTGAAATTGTGACGCTCTCTTCTAGCCTTTAGGTACTCGATTGTCCATCTTTTCCATAGGATGTCCTTATATTTCCGTACCTACTTGGCGCGTTTTCTGAGGTCATAATCTTCAACGTTGGTTGTTTCTTCTACAGGAATTTGATTTGGCTTTCCAAACAACATAAGGTTAGGGGTCAAAGCTAGCATTTAAATATCGTCGGGTAGAAGAACCAAACAGACGGCACAGGTTGAGCAGCGTACATATAGTAGAATGTTTGCCTTCATCTCCCCTTTATTCTTGCTGAAGTACTCGATAGGCCCAGCAAGGTCGACTCCGATTGCCTTGAAGGGCACTGATCCTTCTGTTCTTTCCTTGGGTCGGTTTCCAGTCGGTGGGTTTGCTAAGGCGGTTACTTGAAAGCGTTTACACCCAAGGCACTCATTTATTACTCTCTTTGTTAGCCTTCTGAGGCGAGGTATCCAAGATTTTTCTCGTATCTTCGCCATTGTCAAACTGATTCCCCCATGGAGAGTCTGAAGGTGGACGCACAATACCAGCCTTTTGCTGAACAAAGCATCATCTGGAAGGTAAATGGGATAGTATCCCTGGATACCACCTCTACATTTATACAGTCTATCTGCGTTCTTCTGGAGATTGAGACGTTGCTGATCATCCTGAAACCTGCTCGTACCCTGGCATCTGACTTGTGTCCCTTTTTCCCAGAACTTCTTCTGCCGACAAATCTCTTGAGTAGTGATTGGTCCGGGGATTCTTTGCTGGTGTTTGGCTCTGCAGTTTCGAATAAGGCGGGCGTCGCATGTTTCTCTGTACAGCATCTTTCCAGCCAAGGTGACGAGCGAACCTAATCCTGAACGGTCGTATATCTTAGCTATCTTCCTGAGGATTTCTCTCTTGGTTACTTTGACGATTGGGGCAGGAAAGGCGACTTCTATTGTGTCCACTGTTTTGTTCCACGGTACACCGAGCGGTTTGATCTCCCCCGTCTTTACACCCGTATGTCGCAAGAGGTCAAGAAGGGGCCTTTTGAAGCTTTGATTATTGAGAGCTCTCCTAAAGTTTTTTGAACGTATATCCAGAAACCAATGTGGTTGTATTTACTAACTACCAAATATAGTTTAATGGGCGAAGTTTGAGGCAAAACTTTATCCCGATGCGAAATGCCCTGGACCGCTCTTGCAGAGATGGTTACTTAAAAAAAGTGGGGAGAAACACGAGATGTAGTCGAGTGTTTCTCCCCACTCAAAAATGAGGTTTCCTTTTATTTATGCAAGTACCAGCCTTGATACAAAAAGATTAACTATCGCCTTCAATCGTTATTTTTAAAGTTGTCTGTCGATTCCTTGTCTTGCTCCTCGGCACATTTCCGGTTTTTCCATTTTAACTGTGGTTTTTCCTCTGCCTTTGGCAACTTTGCCCAATATTGTATCATCCAATATTAACGCCCCACTGAGCAATCGAGACAAAGAAAAATGTGTCTGTCATGGTTTACTTTTCCCAGGAAATCTTGATCCATCGTTAATGACGCTATGAGGTCCCGTTGTCGCATTGGTTTGCGGCTTAAGGAAGCGAGATAATCTCTTGCCATGGCCGACTTGTTTGTGAACCTTAATAAGCTAAAATCTCGCATTTGATTTTGGGAGGAATGCATTCACTTTGAGCGAATTCATCGGGTATTTAAATTTGACTGACTTCCGTCAAATTTCGCCAAAACTTTCCAGGAACAATGACAAACGAAAGAGTGTCGGGAAATTGCTTTACTTGAAATATTTTTCTCGTGCTGTCTATTTATGCAACACGCCTTGCATATTTTTAGCTACTCCAACGTTAGATGCCGATTTCTAGGCAATCGATCAGATTATCTAGAAACCCTGACACGCTTTTGTTGATTGATGCCTCGTGATTCAGACTGTGCAGCCATTTTGCCTGTGCTGCGGCATCTGGTACCCAATAAATTCAATAGAAAAACCCTTAGTCGTTTCACGTCTTACCGGCTCCTGACACTTCCCAAAGAGAAAGCTCGCTTAAATTATAATTTTTTTTTTATCATGAACTGCACTCATTAAGCTTCCTTCTGATGCATGGTTTGCTAGGAGTTTAGAGAAACTAGCGCGCGTACGATTTTTTCCCCAAAGGACACTCGCGAAGGTGGGAAGTAACCTTAAATAGACTGTATGACATATTCCAGGACGGAGCTCTTTTGGCGCTTTGTTGTAGCTTGAAATAGTTTAATTACTCGTTGAAGTTGTAGATTTGGTAATTATTTTTTACTGTTAGCTGATATTAGTATTTTTAACAAAGGCTTACAAGACACGCCAACAAAAGACATGGCTGCTGAAAAAGAATATACTGATGAGCAACTGAACTATTACAGGATTTGTCGCGTCACAAATGACATACTAACCGAAGGTTTACGAGAAATTTTCAAACAAGAATGGGACACGCGTTACGGAACGACTCTTGGAGAATGGAAAGATGATCCTAGTAACGGGAAAGCCTTTTACAATAAAGAGTCCCGTGAAAACAAAGAGCGTGAAGAAAACGCCCGTATGTTGTCGACCATGATTAGAGGAAACAGAGCGGAATGGGATCTTTCCATGTTGTTTTACGCCATTCTCTACTCAGATTGCATCTACAGTCTAAACAGCGTGGTGAGAAGGCATGTCAACAACCTCAGAAAATTTCGCAATCATGACTTTGCTCATATGTCAAAAGGTCAACTTTCGAAGTCAGACTTTAAAAGTGCTATTGGCAAAGTTTGTGCTGCATTCCAAGCACTAGGTCTTTCCACTGCAGAAATTCAACAGATATCAAACCAAAAGACGTTTCCAACAAAAGAGTTAAGAACTGTCTTAGAAGAAAACAAAGATTTAAAGAAAGACTTGGACAAAAAAAAGAAAGAAAACGAGGACCTTACAGATCAGCTGAAGAAGATAGAGAGTCAACACCAGGATCTGGAAGATCAGCTGATGGAAACAGGAAAACAACTACAGGTTCTTAAAAATGAGATTAAAGAAACAGAAGAAAAACGAGTGGGCCTTGGGGATCTCTTAGAGAGAGAAGAAAATAAGCTACAGGAAACAGAAGAAATACTAAGGAACCTTAGAGAGCAGCTTAAGACAACAGAAGAACGACAAAGGAACCTTCAAGATAACTTAAAGGAAACAGAAGAGAGACGAAAGAGCCTCGAAGATCAGTTACAAGAGAAAGAAAAACAAATTAAGGTTCTTTCAGAACAACTACTGAACGACACCTCCCCGTTTTGCATTCTTCCTCCTAAACCTTCGCACGACATAGCAAGTCGCGATGTTGAGGTTGCTGACATCACAAACCAGCTGCAGGAGCTTAAGCGAGCTGATGCGAGCAACTTAAGTATCTTGTATATATCCGGGAATCCTGGCAGCGGTAAATCCCAACTGGCAGGTCTTGTAGCCAAGAGATTTTACGAGAAAGCCCAAGAAGATTCCTGCTCTGAAGTGTTTGTTATGACACTGAATGCCGAGACGCTGGGCACACTTTTGGATTCTTACATCACGTTCGCTCGACAAATGAAGTGCCCCGAAGATGCGATTACACAAATCCATATCTCCAAAGATTTGAAGACAGAGGACAAGATTAGCAGCCTGATATCATTAATCAGCTCAAAGATCGGTCAGTACGAGTCCTGGCTTCTGTTGGCTGACAACGTGAAAAGCTTATCTGAAATGCATGTTCATTTACCCCAGCAAGGACACGGACAATGGGGAAGGGGGTATCTGTTGATCACAACCCAAGATAGTACATGTATACCGTTAACAAGCACTTCCATTCGACACATCTCAGTCAGCAAGGGTATGCAGTCCCAAGAAGCGTGTTCTTTGTTAGCCCTTATTTCTGGTATCAGCGATAATGAGATAGGAGAACTAGTAGCTAGAGAACTCGACTACCAACCTCTTGCTTTAGCAAGTGCAGCCACCTATGTGAAGCAACTCCGACAGAGCAAACGTTTCTCAGAGTTTGGATGGAATGACTTTCTGAGGAAAGTAGAGAAAGGGCAACGTGATGCGACAGAGACTCTACTTACAGAGACCAACCCATGTTACAAGAAATCGATGACAACAGCAACAATACTGGCCATTAAAGAAGTGATGCAATCAGACAAAATCATAGATCATGCATTAAGTTTTCTCTGCCTCCTTTCGTCACAGCCCTTAAATGCGGATATCGTGGTGAATTATATCGTAAGCGTCGATGAAGGAATAAAAGATGAAGAGATGATAATTATGAAACTCCAAAGATGTTCGCTAATTTTAACACATGAAGATGAGTTTGGTTTCCACATACGGGTACATCAGGTTGTGCGCGATGTCGTAAAGTCTTTGATTAAGGGCCACCTGGAAAGCCGTCACATAAAAACTTTGAATAGCGCTGTTGCGGCGTTTAACCAGTTTATAGATGACAACCTACCGGAGGAATCGTCAGATTCAATTTTGCAAAGCCGCGCCCTTGCCCTACATTTGGAAAATTTCATTCTTTGTTTTGAAAACATACTTTCGAAAGCTGTCCTTCCTCAAATATTCCAGCCTGGAATGGAAAATCTCGGCAAGATATGTGAGAACCATTGTCATTTTCAGGCCGCAAAGAAATTCTATGCATTTTCATTGCAATTTTTCCTCCAAAAGTTTGGACCAAAGCACACTAGTGTTGCAACTAGTTACAATAACTTGGGTCTGGTGCACGACAAACTGGGCGACTTTGAGAAGGCCAAGGAGTATCACGAACTTGCTCTGAGTATTAAACAGAAAAAGCTAGGACCTGAGAATGTGGAAGTGGCAACTAGTTACAATAACTTGGGTCTAGTGCACGAACAACTGGGGGACTTTGAGAAGGCCAAGGAGTATCACCAACTTGCTCTGAGTATTAAACAGAAAAAACTAGGACCTGAGAATGTGGAAGTGGCAACTAGTTACAATAACTTGGGTCTGGTGCACGAACAACTGGGCGACTTTGAGAAGGCCAAGGAGTATCACGAGCTTGCTCTGCGTATTGAAATGAAAAAGCTAGGACCTGAGAATGTATCAGTGGCAACTAGTTACAATAACTTGGGTCTGGTGCACAACAAACTGGGCGACTTTGAGAAGGCCAAGGAGTATCACGAACTTGCTCTGAGTATTTACCAGAAAAAGCTAGGACCTGAGAATGTACAAGTGGCAACTAGTTACAATAACTTGGGTCTGGTGCACGACAAACTGGGCGACTTTGAGAAGGCCAAGGAGTATCACGAACTTGCTCTGAGTATTAGACAGAAAAAGCTAGGACCTGAGAATGTACAAGTGGCAACTAGTTACAATAACTTGGGTCTGGTGCACGACAAACTGGGCGACTTTGAGAAGGCCAAGGAGTATCACGAACTTGCTCTGAGTATTAGACAGAAAAAGCTAGGACCTGAGAATGTACAAGTGGCAACTAGTTACAATAACTTGGGTCTGGTGCACGACAAACTGGGCGACTTTGAGAAGGCCAAGGAGTATCACGAACTTGCTCTGAGTATTAGACAGAAAAAGCTAGGACCTGAGAATGTACAAGTGGCAACTAGTTACAATAACTTGGGTCTGGTGCACAACAAACTGGGCGACTTTGAGAAGGCCAAGGAGTATCACGAACTTGCTCTGAGTATTAGACAGAAAAAGCTAGGACCTGAGAATGTACAAGTGGCAACTAGTTACAATAACTTGGGTCTGGTGCACGACAAACTGGGCGACTTTGAGAAGGCCAAGGAGTATCACGAACTTGCTCTGAGTATTAGACAGAAAAAGCTAGGACCTGAGAATGTACAAGT